TATGTTACTTTCCCTTATCACTTTAAAGATGCCTCTGCATTATCTTTGGGATTTTACCTCTTTTTTTTTTTTTTTTTGTATTGGAGATTGAACCCAGGGCACTCAACTGGGAGTTCCACCCCAGCCCCTTTTATTTTATTTTGAGACACAATCTCAATAAGTTTTCCAGACCAGCCTTGAACTTGTGATCCTCCTGCCTCAGCCTTCCAAGTTTCTGAGATTACAGGTGTTCACCACCATACCAAACTTTCTTTTCTTTTTTTTTTTTTTTTTGAAGAGGGACTAGGTGGGTACTGGGGATTGAGCCCTGGGCACTATACCACTGCATCCCCATCTGTTTTTATTGTTTATTTTGAGATAGGGTCTTGCTAAATTGCTCAGGCTGGCCTCAAACTTTTGCTCTTCTGCCTCAGCCTCCTAAATCTTTGGGATTACAGGTGTGCACCACCCAGTTTGGCTCTTCCTTCTTTCCTTCCTTCCTTCCTTCTTTTCTTTCTCTTTTCTCTTCCTTTCTTTCTAATGCTGAAGAGGCATTCCTTTTTAGAATATCCAGGTTGGGTGATGAGCTATCACTCTACCACCATTCCAATGTAAAATCTTACTGTTCTGCCCAGATCTACCCCCATTTTGTTATATAAAATCTCATTTCCGTTTGCACCAATTTTAGTTGGGCTTCTTGTTATATAGAACTAAAAAAAAAAAAACTTAAGTGACAGAGTTGAAGATATCACTCTTTGCGATGTCAATACCGTTGTAGCTGCTCCTAGTGCCTAATGCAGACACCACATCCCAACAGACACATCCCTTCCTGCAGCTCTTTTTATTAGGAGGGAAAACCTTTTCGAAGTATTTAAGCTTCCAACTCCTTCCCTCGCACTCTCAAAGCTGCCTTCACGTCATCAATTGGCTTCCTTGTACATTTCCCTACAGGGAAAGGATGTGATGGACGTGGTGATGTAAGCCTCCTGGTCCCCTTGGCCATTCTGTTTCTCATCATGAATGAACACTTTGGTTCTTTAGCTCAGACAGTAGGATAGGAACTGAGTCAGTAAGATCTCCCCTCAGCCCTCCAAGAAACAGATTCTCTCTGAGTGCTGCTTGAGTCAAATGTATAATTCTGACCATGATAAATTCACCAAGTAAGTGTCACCTCTGATACCATTTGGCACTTGGCCAGCCAGCCTGCCTGATGACACCCGTCTCATCAAGTGCAGACTCCTGTGCTTTCCTGCCGCGTTCATCTCAACCAGTGGTCTCCTTCTTTATCCCTCACTCCCTTTTCCTTTAAGACTCTCTCCCTAATTCTGTCTCTCTTTCTACCTCACCACTTAACTTCCTTTCTTCTTTCCTTTTTTCTTCTTCCATATTCCACTTTAATTAACCACAGAGTTGAATAATAGTATATACTAGAGTTCAACAGTACTGTGCCCGGCTGTCTACTAAAATGATATTCTGAGCTCACAATAGCTCTGAAAGGGTCTTGTTCCTGTGGTGCAGAGGAGGAAGTTGAGGCTCTGAAAGGCTAAATGGTTGTAGCTCATAACATTAAAGGTTTTTCTCTGCGTAATTTTCAGTAACTAAATTAAACCCTTTATCTCAGAAAAATTCAGTTAAAATTGCTCATAGCTTCCATCTTACTTTTGCCTGTGAGTCAATTGTCCCAGAGAAGAATCTCCCTGAAGGATGCTTATTCCTTTCTCATCCTGGAAAAAGGAACATGAGATGAAAAGTGAATGAGCATGATACGGAATTGCAGCTGTCCCTGGGAACGGCAGAGCTCCCGACTTCTCTTTGCACCTCCTCGCCCTTTTCCCAGAGATCAGGGTTTGCCCCTGATTTTTCTGAAGCCATCTTAGTCCTCTCCATGGAGGAGACGACCCTCTCTGTCTAGTGTAACCAGAATGTGAAGAATGAGGAAACCAAAATTTCAGCACCTGGATTTGTAACTTTTAGTAGCTCAGAGATGGAAGTTGTGGTTACATTGAATCTGCCCTCCCAAGACCACTTTGAATATTTGGGGTGGTGAACTAGGCTACGTAGCCCCAACAGGTGTTCCCTCATGGTCCCAGAAGACAGTGAACTGGAGAGAAGCATGCTTTCCACAGACTTCAGTGGAGGTGTGGGAAGGGCAGTAGAGAAAGCAGGCTGCTTCCATGTGTCCCAGGCTCTCAACTCTTACTCCAGACAGTGAAGGCCGCCTGGCTCCAGCACACACAGATGGCCAGATTGTGGCAACAGGCTGGAGGAGTGGGTAGTCCTAGACTGAGGATCATAGGGCAGCAGCCTATGACTGAAGTTGGAAGGTCCAGACCCTGGTGGATCAGCACCATGGAAATGAAGTCAAAGGTGGGCTGCAAGCTGAGGCTTCAGCACGACTGCCAGGGGCTCCTTCCCTGCTCACCTCCCACCCCCTTCCCCTCTCCTGTTGCTATGCCAGAGAGGAACCTAATCCTGGCCATTGTTTGGTTGACTGGCCCAGCACTTAAACGTTGTGATAAATGATGACTTGGTTTCCTTCAAAGGCCCTTCAGAATTTCTTCACTGAACTGTCTACTCTGCAGTCTCTGGCAGTGTGGATCCACCTTGGAGTAGCTCTTAAGATCTGGCTGATTTGCATAGATCTGAATACTCTGGGTCTTCTCCATTCCGGCCTTATTATTATAAATGTTCACCCAGGCATGGTAGCTGCACCTCTGTAATCCCAGTCACTCCGGAGACTGAGGCAGGAGGATAGCAAGTTTGAGGCCAGCCTCAGCAATTTAGCAAGGGCCTATGCAACTTAGTGAGACTCTGACTCAAAATCAAAAATTAAAAGGGCTGGGGATGTAGCTCAGTGATAAAGCCCCTTTGGGTTTAACTCCCAATATGAATGAATAAACAAATAAGTAAATAAATAAATGTTCAGAAGAAGAAAGAGAAGGACTATCTCCCTCTTTTTCTTCCTCTTTCCCCTAGTCCTAGGGTGCAGTCTGTCAATTTCCCCTGTGTGCCTACAACAGACTTCCAACAGCCAGGCGCCCTATGCAGCTCTCCTCAGTTAATTCTCCTCATTTATTCGGAGCCTGAAAGATCCTTGGGAGGCTCTGAGGGAGCCTGCATTGTGATTTATTTAGCTTTTACCTAGGGTCAGAACATTTGGGCTGAAGTCCCTGGAGCTGGGTAAGCAACCGTGACGGGTGCCTTAGAGCCTGTTAAGGGGGTGGGGTTTGAAGGGAGGGGTGAGGGGTGATGGAGTGAGGACTCATTCTGAAATGAAAGGAGTCCTGGGTCTCTGAGCCGCTTCTAAAAATACCATCTCCCAGCGCTGAGGAAGGGGGAGGGGACAATGGAGCATGAGGAGAATGGAGATAGGAAGGAGGTGGGGAGGTAGTAACTCTTCTTCAGGTAGATCTTATTTCAGAGACCCCGCCTGCATCCAGGAACCGGACGAAGCCACACCTCCTTCTGCTTCTTCGGTGGGCTTCAGTCTCCTGCGGCGTCCGAGCCCCAGCTTCTCTTTCTTTTCAGCAGAAAAAGGATACTAATTCCATCACTCACTCCTCTTCTTGCTACTATATGGTACGTATGTGAGTGAGCAAGTGGGTGTGTGCACAGCGCGCGCGCGCGCACACACACACACACACACACACACACACAAATGGCACTTGAAAGCAGCTTGTAAGTGACCAGTGATCTACGATGCTAGGAACTCTTATTACACTGGATGCTCAAAGAGGTATGGACTGTGGCAGAGACTGGGTGATTCACTCAGGTATACTCGGCACAGAGCATGGCGCCCAATAATTGTCGGTTGGAGGGGTGAGGAGTACATTTATGCAGAATGCAGAGACACTCGGACCACACAGGCCAAGTAAATGCAGGACCCACCCTCACTCTAGAGGCGGCTCGAGCTAATATACCGTGCAAAGGGAGAGAGGGGGTGGGTCCCCCAAGTAAAGAGCTTGAAGAAGCAATGAGTCGGGTGGAGTTTTCTCCCCTCGAGTTCAGCTCAGATGGTGAAGCTCAAGAGCCGCCGCCTCCCTCATGCTAGAGGGCCGCAGCCCTTCCCACCACCAAACGGTTAAACCCTCAGCTTGCACATAAATGACCTTCACTAAATAGAGGTCGTGTTCCACGTTTTCTTGCGGCTTCTTCAGCACCGGCTGAACTCTGAGAAAATTGCTCCGCCTCTCTCGCAGCTGCCTCGGATTCCCCGCCACTGCGCTCCTCACCGGTCTCCTAGAGTGGGCGGAGTGGGGTGCTCAGAGGGGAACCCCAGCCTAAGGACAGCCTGGTGGTGGAATGTGCTACTTGTGTCTTGACAGCAGGAGCAAGAATCTGAGGAACCAGTCACTCATGCAAAATCTACCGCGGCCCCCAAACTGGTGTCCACATGGTTTCCCAGCCTCAGAAGCGCTGCTGGTAGGGTGGGACCTGTCTCCCATTTGGCTCGGTTTTCTCCAGCAGCTCCTGGGGTCGGGCTCGGCCCCTCCCTCCTGCCTCGGTGTGTGTGTGTGTGATGAGGGCGGGGAGAAGAGAGGAGGGGTCGAGACGTGAAACCGAGAGCCGCAGACGCAGAAACAGGCAAGGGGTTTGGAGATCGAAGAGCTCCCCAGAGCTTGGGGTCAGGCTTCGAAACCCCCTGCAAGTCTTGGGACCAAGGGAGCTTCAGGCTGGTTAAGAGGCTGCAAGTGTCACCGCTTCCCCGCGTGCCGCCCCTCCTTAAGCCACGCCCACATTGCCTACTTCTCAGGGCTGAGAGGCTAAGGTTTAGCGTCCCTGGGCCACCGACGCCTGGTCCTCTTCTCCCCAGAAAACGAGCCAGCGCTCAGCGCTGCCCCACCCCCATGGTTTGGAGATCTGCGGGACCCTTCCTTTCCCATTCCAGTTGGGTGTTCCGCCCCTAGCCTATAAAACTCCACCTTCCCACCCTCTGTTGGCAGGGATTGGTGGACCTCCCGCGGCGATGCCTAGTGATTGGTCCCCATGGATGATGGTGACCGGCGAGACCCCGCCTCCAGCCCGCGCTGGGGTCTGGGGGCACTGCTCAGCGGTGCTGGGCTGGCGCGGCTTGAGCCGCCGCCGCACTGACAGCTCGGTCTGCGGACCATGGAGACTGGCGCTGGTCCACACCCGCTGCGCCTGTTAGTCTGCCTGATGCCGCTCTGTCTCGCGCTGCTTTTGGGACCCGGGCGGCCCGGGACTGCCGAGGAAGGTAAGGAGACTGGTGGCTGTGCTCGGAGTCTGGGATGCCAAAAGATAGGGTGCCGGGGTGCTGGAATGCTAGGGAAGGAGTCATTGGAGAGACTAGAGTCTATATTGGTGTTTGAAGCAAGTGGGCAGCGGGTGGCAGAGAGCGAGCGAGCGCGAGAGAGCGAGAGGCTGCTAAGCAATGGGGAAGAGAGGGGCGTTGAGGAGTTTGAGGGCTGGAGACCTAAGAAGCTGGGGAAGAAAGAGACCAGGAACCGCGGGAGCCAGAGGCGGCGGTTAAGGGGCCAGTGAGACGGACAGGCTGAGTGATTGGAGGTGGGAGGTGTGGGGGCGGGGAGATGCCGAGGGCGGAGGAGACGAGGGTGTGCGGAGGTGAGATCCGAGGGTGAGGAGATGGAATGTAGCCCGCATAGTGGAGGCTAGGAAACCACTGTATGGCCAACAGGAGGTGGAATGCTGGTTGCAGGGTCGCCCAGTGCTGGCCGTGGAACTGTCCGCAGTGCTGAATTTGGAGCCTAGTGTAAACCGCGGTCCCGGTTGCCGGGTTTGGGGCGATCGGCGGTATCAGAGCCCGCGTCTTGCTTCTGTCTCTGCATTTAGGGGAGCTGTATGCTCAGTTGGCGTCATATGCAGGTGCAGAATCCTGAGGAGCTGGAATCAGGCGCTGACTTGCAGGGTTGGTCCTGGCGCAGGATAGCAGATGCCTTCCAGTATGCAATTTCTATGTGCTGTCAGTTGTGTGAAATCAGCACGCTGTTGGCGGTCCTGCCCACTGTCGCTGACGCCTCTGGAGCCAACTCCTCTTAGACGCTCTCACCTTGGCGGCCCACCCCCTTCCTTAAGCTCCATATGAGTAATCTTCCGAGATTTGGGGATAGCCTGGCTTCCAGTGTCTGGGTTGCTGGCTCTGCTGTCCAAACCAGTGCTTTTCTGTGACCAGTGCTGAGAGGATGCAGACTGCTGATCTGACACCTCCCGGGGAATAAAGTGGCTCCAAGCTTCTCTGGTGCAGGAGGAGCCATGGATCATACATGAAACACCCTGACATTCTTTCAAACACAGTATATAGGTGACAGCCCTGGGAAAGGAGCTGGCTGAGGAAATGAGAGATTTTTATTCCTCTTGTGGTTAGTAAGGTCTCTCCACTCCATTTTCTCTGGAGATCCTGGGAGTCAAATGAAAAGGCTAAGCCTCCTCTCTGCCTGCGTACATGACTTTAAAAAAGCCCCTGAATCTGAATTTTGGGGGTATACACAGGAATCCCCTGCTACACTCCTTTTCTCCAGACTCTAATTGACACTTAATAGTAATTTAGGGAACCTGGAAAGACTGGGGAGTGTCATGGGCTCCCCACCCCCAATTTGAGAGCCAACTCTAGAGTATTCTCTAAGGAATCTGTGGAAAGCTGAAAAATGACACCCCCTCTCCAAAAATGTCTGCCCTAATCCTCAGAACCTGTTAATCTTACCTTAAGTGGCCAAAAGGGGCTTTGCAGATATAATTAAGGATTTTGTGATGGAGAGATTATACTGGATTATTTGGATGGATCCAATATAATCACAATGGCCCTTATGTGAGGGATGCAAGAGGAGTCTGTTGGAAAGAAGGTGATGTGATGGCAGAAGCTGAGATTGAAGTGAGGCACTCAGAAGGTGAAGGAGGGGATCATGAGCCAAGGAATACAGGTGGTCACTAGAAGCTGAAGAAGGCAAGAAGATGGATTTTCCTCTCAGAGTCTCCAAAGAAATCAGTCCTACTGATGATACCTGACTTCAGACTAATGGAACTGAGATCAGGCATCTGACTTCCAGAACCCTACAAGAAATAAAATTCTGGCTTTTTGGAGGGTGGGGGTGGGGTGGCTACCAGGGATTGAACTCAGAGGCACTTGACCACTGAGACACATCCCCACCCCTATTTTGTATTTTATTTAGAGACAGGGTCTCACTGAATTGCTTAGCACCCCGCTGTTGCTGAGGCTGGCTTTTAACTCGCAATCCTCCTGCCTTAGCCTCCCAAGCCACTGGGATTCAGGTGTGCATCACTGTGACAAGCATAAAATTCTGTCGTTTAAAGCCACCAGATTTGTGGCAATCTGTTTCAGCAACCCCAGGAAACTAATATGAACTCCTCTAATCATTGTGGCTACCTATCTCTGGATTTGTGGTACTCATAACTCCATTTCTGAGGAAGTATGGAGTGGGAAACATTTCTTTGTATCCTTTGCCACATCCTCTATCCCTCAGCAAATTTATAGTGAATTCAGCAAAGGATCCCACCCTCCTTGTATACTGACCTTCTGACTTTCTCACATCTCTCTTCTCCCCTCTCCTTAGTCGTCCTCCTGGATTCCAAAGCCTCCCAGGCTGAACTGGGCTGGACTTCACTGCCAAGTAATGGGGTAGGTGTAAAACTATCCTTCGCTGTCTCAGAGATCCTTCAATGCCTTTACCTCCCCATGGTCATCTCAGATCAAAACACACTCAAACCTGTGAGATCTCCAGTTGCCCTGGTGTCAAACCAAAGAGGCCTATTAAAAAAATGTTGTCTTCAGTTAGTTAGACAAATAAATAGAAAGAAAGAAAGAAAGAGAACAGAAAAGAAAGAAGGACTATGTCTAAGAATAGAAATATGAGAAATGGATGGAGTTAATGCTGGAGTGTGCTTGTACATAGTAGATCCTGCAAAGAGTGTTGTTGATTGACAGAAAGCAAGACTTGGAGTCCTAAAAGAGGACTTGGGAACTTGGGGTGGAGTACTGTGGGAGGCAATAGAGCTTGGTGTAGTGGAAAGGGCACTGGATATAGAGTCAAGACCCTCCAGATACCATTCTTAGCTCTGCCACTAATTCAATGTGCATACCAAGTCATTGCTTTCCCTTTGGAATTTCAGATTCCTCACCAATAACAATAAGGATTGTTGTTTATTTTAATTGAATATATACTAAAACTGGAACAATGCAGAAATTAGCTCAGCCTAAGAATGACATGCAGATTTGTGAATTGCTCCATTATTTGTTTGTTTGTTTGTTTTGGTTCAGGGAATTGAACCCAGGGACTTGCACATGCTAGGCAAGAACTCTATCCCTGAGTTATAGCTCCAGCCAATGTTATTTATTTATTTATCTATTATTTTTCTTCTTCTTCCTTCTCCTACCCACTACCCACCGCCCTTCCACTTTGGGCTGCTTTCTACCACCATTGGATGAAAAAGATGAATAAACTCTTGGACTCTGTGGGTCCTGAAGTCCCATAGTTCTCCCTGACAGTGCATGCCAGGCCTCACCCTTCTTTTCCCTTGTTCAGGAGCTCCTTAGAGCCCTTTTGAAATTTTTTTGGAATCACTTTGGACTTCTACTTCTTTGCCTGAAAGGGAATTTTGAATTCTGCAATGCTGTAGTGCCAGTTAGCAAGAAGGAAAGTAGGTACACAGAGAAACCAGGTTTTATTTATGTATTTATTTATTGTGGTACTGGGGATTAAATCCAGGGACACTTTATCCCTGGCCCCCCTTTTTTATTGTTTTGAGTTGTAGTTGGACACAATACCTTTGTTTTATTTATTCATTTTTATGTGGTGCTAAGGATTGAACCCAGGACCTTGCACGTTAGGTGAGCGCTCTACCTATGAGCCATAATCCTAGCCCACCTTTTCATTTTTTGAGAATGGGTAGCACTAACTTGTGCACACTGTCCTTGAAATTGCCATCCGCCTGCCTCAGTTTCTCGAATCACTGTGATTTGCAGGCCCAGATTTCCCCTCCACTCCCCCACCTCCACACCGAACTTGGGATTGAACCCAGGGGTGTCCTACCACTGAGCTACATTCTCAGTCCTTTTAATTTTTAAATTTGGGTCAGGGTCCTCACTAATTTGCTGAGGCTGGCCTTGAACTTGTGCCCCTCCCGAGTTGCTGGGATTACAGGTGTGCATGACTTGCATTTTATAATTTTAGGGGTGTGTGTGCTAGTGGCAGGGGAGGCAGGAAATGATAAAATGATGCAAAATGAAGTTTTCAGCCAGAGTCAGTGTTTGACTTCCTAGGAGCACCTTGGCTCTTTTAGCTGTTCTCTTCTTTACTCTTGCCCCAGTGGGAGGAAATCAGCGGCGTGGACGAACATGACCGTCCCATTCGCACATACCAAGTGTGCAACGTGCTGGAGCCCAACCAGGACAACTGGTTGCAGACTGGTTGGATCAGCCGAGGTCGAGGGCAGCGCATCTTCGTGGAGCTGCAGTTCACACTGCGCGACTGCAGCAGTATCCCTGGCGCCTCAGGCACTTGCAAGGAGACCTTCAATGTCTACTACCTGGAAACCGAGGCAGACCTGGGCCGCGGGCGTCCCCGCTTAGGAGGTAACCGACCCCGCAAGATTGACACGATCGCAGCGGACGAGAGCTTCACGCAGGGCGACCTGGGCGAGCGCAAGATGAAGCTGAACACAGAGGTGCGTGAGATCGGCCCGCTTAGTCGACAGGGTTTCCACCTGGCCTTCCAGGACGTGGGCGCATGCGTGGCGCTGGTGTCTGTGCGCGTCTACTACAAGCAGTGCCGCGCCACCGTGCGGGGCCTGGCGGCGTTCCCAGCCACCGCGGCGGAGAGCGCCTTCTCCACTCTGGTAGAAGTGGCTGGAACGTGCGTGGCACACTCGGAAGGGGAGCCCGGCAGCCCTCCGCGCATGCACTGCGGCGCGGATGGCGAGTGGCTGGTGCCGGTGGGCCGCTGCAGCTGCAGTGCGGGATTCCAGGAACTTGGTGACATCTGCGAAGGTATCCAGAGGATGGGAAGTGCGAGGTGGGAGGACAGAGCGCAGGTGGCCATTGGGAGAGTGTGTGTCCTAGATGAAAGAAGCAGGAGAGGGAGTGGAGAAGCCATGGGCGTTGGAACTGGGAGTTCTGACCTTTTGTGGAACTTCTAGCGGGTTCAGTCGGGACCAAGGAGTGAAGTTCCTAAGAGGTGAATTGGACTCCATATAAGGAAGTTTTAGGAATCTATGTTTCAGGCACTAGGATAAGCACTTCATTCAGGCCTTCTCATTTATTTGCCCAGCAACTAACTCAGTCATCATTATCCCTACGTTATGGGTAGGAAACAGACTCGAAGTTGCAAAATTAGGAAATGGGAAGCCAGGATTTGAATTCAGGTTTGTCCAGCTCTTTATAACTATACCATGTTGCCTCTGCTGTGCATAAGAAAGAAATCTACAGCAGCCCAAACTTTGAGCCAGCACTGTAGGGAGTGAGTTCTCCTGGGGTCACTGACCAGTCAGAGGCTGGAGTGGGGGGGCTTGTGAGTTCAAGAGAGAGTGGAGCAAATTTGCACTAGGACTGGGAAAGTCCCTGTTAACTCTCTGCACCACACTCATTGTGTCATCTGGGAGAGATCCACCATGATTTTTTTTTTTTTTTCTGGGTTCTCAAGTCTGTGAGGAATTAGGCACAGACCTCTCCACTCTCTCTTTGAGAATGGGGAGTGGGTGTTAAAGACAGGGCTATGAATGTATGCCTTTAATGTAGGAAGATCAAGGGACGCGTTTTCTAAAGCAGGTCCTTTTTTGGGTGCCAGGGCAACAGAAATGAATCAGACAGTTCCAGCTCTTGAGAAGCTCACAACCACATGGAGAGAGTCAAAGACTAAAAATCAAAAGAGGGTGATAGATGATATAAGAGAGAGATACACAGACTAATGAGAAGACAGAGGAGGAAATAACTGAACTTGTTCTTATTCCTTTGTTCAATCACCCACTCAGTATGAGATGAGGACATACTGGCTGCATTTATTCAGGTCTTAGATGTGTATAGATGAATACCACTATGTATTCCCTGGGGAAGTTGTATGAGACCCAGAGGCAAGACCCCTTCCTGAGCTCTCCAGACAGGCTTAGGATCCAGTTCAGTGCTCTCCAATACTCAGTGCAACCTTCTGTACTTACCCCAGGTCTACAGTAATCTACTTGTGTGTATTATATTTCCACCACTAGATTAAGATTTTTTTTTGTACTGGGGATTGAACCCAGGGGTACTTAGCCACTGAGCCACATCCCAAACCCTTTTTCTATTTTATTTTAAAATGGGGTCTTACCAACCTGCTTAGAGCCTTTCTAAGTTGCTGAGGCTGGCTTGGAATTCATGATCCTCCTGCCTCAGCCTCCTGATCTGCTGGGATTACAGGCAAGCACCACCATGCCTAGTTAGACTTAAGAACTTCTTGCACGCAGACACTGGGTCTTAGTCTCAGCAGCCCCATCATCCAAAGCAGGATATGGCATATGGCAGGTGCTCAGTGAAAATGCATTGAGTTAACAAGTGGTTATCATAGGGTGTGATAGATACCAACAGAGAGCTGAGCAAGCATGGAGAAAGGAAAACACTTCTAAGGATGGAGAGGGTTTCCCAGAGAAAATGAAAAGGTCTTTATTCCAGGCAGCTGAGACCACTGTGCGCTTAGGGATTGCGTATAAAAGCATGGCAGCAGGAAGGAACATAGCATGTTGGTGTAAATGGGTAGCCCCTGTGACTAGAACCAGGACATGTATGTGGGGTGTGAGGAGCGATCAGGCTGGAGAAGGGCTGGGGCAAATCACAAAGGGGCCATGAATATTAGACAAACAGCTTGTGCTTTATGTTTAGACCAGTGAGGAGGGATCCAACATGTTCAGATTTATATTTTGAAAGATCATTCGAGCTGCAATAGCAAAGACAGGGTTGGAGAGGGAAGGATTAGAGGCTAGAAATAAGGAAAATTGTGCAATAGTTTTGGAGAAAGAGGGTGAGCTCTGAACCAAGGAGGTAGCAGACATCCTTGAGCCATGAGAATGGGGGAGATCAGGAGAGAGCACCCAAAGCACTTAGTGATCATGTGATCTAGGAGGGTAGGCCCCTTTTGATTTGTATGCTGCTGGAGGTTGAATGGACAGAGGGATCGTGCACTGGGTACAGAACCCAGAATACAGATGTGTCCAAGTGGAAGTATCTAGAACGTGGAGCTGGAGCTCAGCATCAGTTACTGCTTGAGGCTCTGGGTATGGCTGGTACAGACTAGAGAGAACTACAGGGTAAGAAGCAACAGGGCCAACAAGGGAGACTTAGAGAACAGCAATGTTTAAGGAAAGATAGAAAAAACAGTCCCTCAAAAAAAGACTGAGGAGGAGAGGTGGACAGGTGGGTTGGAGTACAGCTAGGAGAGGGCTCTGGCTTGTGCTTAGGGAGAGGGAGGGGTCCAGGAGGGCAATACCCATGGGATGAGTGAGCAGTCAGGGAGGCTGGGGGCTGGACAATGTTCACTTGGTGGCCTTAGCAAGAGCAGCTTCAGCTGATCAGTGGAGACACCAGGTCAACGTTGAAGGACGTTGAGTGGCTGGAGCAGAGAATCTAGAGGTGTGGATTCGATGGGGAAGAAGAGGTAGCATCTTCAGGAAGACCTTGGGTTGAAAGAGGGTGTGTGTGTACTTTTCATCTGAACACAGAGAAAGGGCTTTTATTGTAAGCTGAAGGGAAAGAGCCATTGGGATACCAAGTAAATGAGAGGGTGCATCTGTCCCTAGGAGGAAGGATTTTTTTTTTTTTTTTTTTGGCAATGGGGATTGAACCCAGGGGCGCTTAACCACTGAGCCACATCCCCTGCCTATTTTATTTAGAGACAGGGTCTCACTGATTTGCTGAGGCTGGCTTTGAACTCAGATCCTCCTGCCTCAGCCTCCTGGGATGCTGGGATTACAGGGGTGACAGCTGCACCCAGCTGGGAAGGAGTAGTTGATTACCGATGGGGGTTAGAATTGCTGATACATGCTGCTAATAAAGAGAGGCCAACTTTTAGTCAGTTCACTATGATTGCAGTCAGTGCTTTTATTCCCTGAACATGAATGGACCACCTTTTCTGCTCCACCCTCTTAAAAGCCAGCAGAGGAGCCCTGTGAAAACCAGCAGGGGAGATGAACGATGGAATGTCGTCTTTGAAGAGGTGAAAGGGGGGTCCAGAGTGGAGATGGAAGTGCTGGCCTTCAACAGGAGGTGGCTCATCCCCTCCTCTAGGACTGGAATGAAGGAGGAGAGGGGAGAGGAGTGTAGATGGAGGTGTTTGTGGGTTTTGATGGCCAGATGTTGAGGGAATTACCAACTGATGGCCTCTCTTCTCCCTGTGAGGTGGGAAGGAGGCATCTGTACCAGTGGACACTCGGATCTTTGTCTGTTCTGCTCATCGCTGTGTCTTTGGAGTCTAGCTCATAGTAGATGATAAAATTATTTGTTGAATGAATGGATCAAGGGCTGGAGGAGGTTTTGATCCACACTCTGGAAACACACACACGCACACAATTCCACTCTGGTTTGTGTGGGGCTGCCTTCCTTTGGGCTGAGACCATTTCCTCTGTCCTGAGGAAGGGGGAGCGAGGGAGCCAGTGAAGGAGGTGCTGTTTGGACTGGGTTTTGGAGAATTATAGAACTAGATTGCCAGGAGGAAATGGGGTGTAAAACATTGCAGGACAAGACCCAGAGGTGTGAAAAGAAGAGCCGGATGGGGTTGGCATCCTAGGGTGACTGGCAGTGGGGAGCTGCTGGAGAGTTTAGGAAAGGAAGCAGTCGGATGGACAGTCAGCAAGCTCAGGCCTTCCCAGGGTCTTCCACAGCTTAGTTCAGCCCCCTGTCTAAGGGTAGGTGGATCTCAAAGAGGGTGTAGAGCTAAATTACTGTTCTTTCCCCCTGTTTCTCCCTCTAGTGACTGACTCTGTTCACCTCTCCAAGCCACTAGAGGGATTAATGAAAGAGGTGGGGTTTCCCCTTGGGGAGAAAAATCAGGGCATATGGCCTGTGTCTTTTGCTCTGTGGGACTTGCCTGGAGCTAAGGCAACCAAGCAGTTATGTTCTGAGGCTGTGTGGCAGGAAGGGAGCACCGACAGGGAGGCCAATTCCAGCTCTTCCTAAGAATCCCCAGCCCATTTTATTTAGAGACAGGGTCTCTGAAAAAAAAAAATGGTGGTCCATTCAGGTTCAGGGAATTCCTCTAACTGCAGGAGATGGTCCCCGAGGGCAGCCTCCGAGGGGTGAGTGCCCCACTGTGAGGTATGTGAGCCGAGGGTCTGGCTGCTGCTGCCCCCAAAATGCTGCTGGAGGGCCAGGCCAGGCGAGCTGATCCAGGCTGGCGCTGGCCTTGAGGAAGGGAAGGAGGCTGGCCTCCAGGAATCCCCTTCTGAGTCTGCTCTTCAACACACACCTCTAAACAGAGCCTCTCAGAGCAGAGACAACCCACTGCTCTGCTGGGACCAGTGGTAGTCATTGTCCTCTCCTACTGTCCCAGGCCCTCACCTCCTCGCTCATTTCACAAGGCAGGTGGGCAGGCTGCGATGATAAGTCCCACCTGACTGATGGTTTGCAGCCAGAGAGGAGTGGTCTAGCTAACGCTGAACCCAGCCCTCCTGGTCCCTATTTGGGTAGTCGACACCCCCAGGCCACA